TGCATCAGCTTATTAATAAGCTAAAGTTGCCCCAAACATGCACAAAATCTAAGATGTATAGCAAAACAGGGCTAGAATGTAATTTAACATTATGTCGTATTTAACTTGCCTGGAGTAAACTGTTTGTTTGGATTTAAACTTAAGTCTGCTCGAATAAACTGTTTGGCTAGAGCTCAATTTATACATTAACCTTATCCAAACTATCGGTATCAATCTTATTACAAAATCTTATTACAAATGTTACATTAGGCATCTCACTTGCAAACCTTAAATAAAAGCAACTACCACATTACTTCAAAATTCAAATACAATTATTTCCTATGAAAGATAGGCACAACAAAATATGCACACTAGGACATAGGACACGACATAACTGTTTAAAATGGAACTCCACATACCATTTACACAATTTTTTTATAAATTATTAATAATGAAGTGTAGACTCAAAGAACAAAAAATCCATATCTTTAATACAAAAAATTAGAATTTAAAATAATAACATCATATAAATCAAATAAAAAACTTAAGGATCAAAAATTGGTTTAATTACAAGATTTTTGGGAAAAAAATTGTACTTGATTTATTTATTTTATTGTGTTTAATTGTGAACAACACATAATATTAGCATTGATCAATAGCCATGACTTCCTCAATATTAGCCTTAAATTGTCCGCGCAAAATGCTAAAATTAGAAAATGAGTGTATAATCTTCAAACCATCTGAAGTAATAAGAATGTATTGATGCAACACTAGTTGGCCCAACACACTCAGCCTCATGAGATCATCAAAGCTAAACTGGTGCCCTCTTTAATGGAACTTTTACCATCATAAATAAAAAATTAGAGTTTACTACATGAACTAATAAGTAAATATACTTTATCATCATTGTGTGTTCCCTAATGTGTTGGGTGTGTCATGATTGTGTCCAACGCCAATTTTGGAAAAAAAATATCAATCACAATTTTGCCGAAGAAGTGTTTGCTCAGAAAATGAATCAGGCACAAATGCTAAAAGTTTTATGAAGTGATTTTGTTTTACAAACTATTTTGCATTTTAAGATTTCTAATTCTAATGCACAAATATCTTATCATTATTATTTCTAACACAGTCGAGCGCCTCGACGTTTACAAGAAAATCTTTATTTTCCTCTCTCCCTTCCTCTCTCTCTCTCTTTCTCTCTTTCTCTTAGCTCTCAGGAGGACTTGGCTTGGTCTTGCTTGGCTTTGCTTGGCTTGGCTTCTCTTTTAAGCTAAAAGAGGCTATTTATAGAAACCATGAGAGCGGTAGGTGGGAAGTAGGTGAGCAGTAGGTGGGAAGTAGGTAAACGCAAGGTGAGATTCTTAATTAGGAAGCTAATTAAATTTTGCTGGACCGGGTCCTCACATTACCCGACAATTCTCCCACTTGGATACTGGGACACTGACTGCATCACCTATTGGTTGCATCATCTACTAGTTGTATCGATTTTTTTCTCAAGCATGATATCATCCACTTCTGTAACTCGAAGCTTCTGCTTTCATGTCAGAAGACCAACTGAAGTTGAGCATACCTTAAACTTATCACGAGTAACACCCTCAGTTGACATATCATCGTCAACGTAGCATTGTATCACCAAGCTCTTTCCTAGGTTACTCCTGTGTATGCTTATAACTCTCACTATATGAGCAATATTTTGCCTCTGCTGAAAGCCATTTTCAACAATTTCAGTCTTGTATCTCTTACTACTACCAAACACAGTATTCACCCGGTACACTCACTGGTTGTGCAGTGCATTCTTCGTTGGTGGAAGTTCTGTCAGCTCCCAAGTCTGATTCTCTGGCAGGGAATTTGTCTCCTCCTTTTTTGTTAGCTCTCACTTGCTCGAAATCTCATCTTGAAAAATTTCTTCATAGCTTGTTGTTCTTCACCATTTGTCTGTACAAGGTTTGGTTTTTCTGCCTTTGGCGCTCACTTGCTCGAAATCTCACTTTTCTGCCTTCATAGCTCTCACTTTTCAAGAAATTGATCTTATTTTGCTTCCACATAATGTATCTCTGACTCATGTGTTCTCACATGAGTAAATCTGTAGTCATATATAGTGTGTCAGTTTTCTTACCCCAAGCTCTTTTGGTAACTTTCAAGGTGTTATCTGAGAACACTACCGAATTACCACCATTATTGAGTTGTCCAACAGAGATGAGGTTTTTCTTCAACTCATGAACGTGTATAGCCATTTGCAAAGTCTATTTGCTCTTGTTAGGGACTGCAATATCAACATCTTTTATCCCCACCACGTCCAAAGTTTTTCCATCAGTCAGATATACCTTCCCAAAGTTACCTGCAAGCCCCTGAATTCAGTATTCAGTCATCAACAGAACTGTGAACTGTCAGAAATAGTGTATCAAGTATTTCTTCAGTTACAACATTAGCGTCATCATTCTTTTACTTCTTAGGATTTCTGCAGTTCCTTTTTATGTTGTCAGTCTTGCCACAATTCTAGCAGGTTGTCTGCTGATCAGACTTTGATTTTGGTCTTTCTCTGTTTGAGTTTTTGTCATGTGATCTCCTTCTGGAATCAACATTCAGCATTGAACTTGAACACGTGGTCTCGCCAGAATACTTCTTGCGCACCTCCTTAGTCAAAATCAAATCACGAATATCATCATATTTCAGCTTAGATTTACCTGCAGAACTACTAACTGTCATCTTCATGGCTTCCCAGCTATTTGACAATGAAGTCAACGATATCAGCGCACATATCTCATCATCAAAATCAATTTCAACAGACGACAATTGATTTGTGATAGTGTTGAAATAATTTAGATGTTGAGCAGCAGACACACCTTCCGTCATCTTCAAGTTGAATAACTTTTTCATCAGATGCACTTTGTTATTCACCGATGGTTTTTCATACATACCTAATAAAACTATCATGAAATATGTAATAGTCCTCTTCTTTATGTCGTTGTGGGCAACCGATTTCGATAGGGTTAATCGTATAACCCCCAGAACCTGTCGATCAAACAGATTTCATTCCACCTCATCCATTTTTTCTGGTCGTTTTCCCAGTAACGGAAGATGAAGTTTGTTTCCATAGAGGTGTTCTTCTATCTGCATCCTCCAGTAAGCAAAATTTGTGTCATTGAACTTCTCGATCTCTGATGTCATCACTTCGTCTCTGTCCATCGCTCTTCTGAACTTCTCGATCCCTGATGTCATCACTTCGTCTCTGTCCATCGCTCTTTTTTAGATTCGAATCCAAGCTCTGACACCAATTGTGAAAAATGACGACAATAAATTACGTGGTTCGACAAATTTGCCTACGTCCACGGAGCTGTAGATGATTTTATTTTTTCGAGAAATTACACCGTCGAGCGCCTCGACGTTTACAATAAATTTTTATTTTCTTCTCTCCCTTTCTCTCTCTCTCTTCCTCTCTTTCTCTTAACTCTCAAGGGGACTTGGCTTGGTCTTGCTTTGTTTGACTTTGCTTGGCTTGTCTTTTCCTTTAAGCCAAAAGAGGCTATTTATAGAAACCATGAGAGCGATAGGTGGGATATGATAGGTGAGCTGTAGATGGGAAAGTATGTGAACGGTAGGTGAGATTCTTAATGAGGAAGCTAATTAAATCTCGGTGGTCCGGATCTCCACATTACCCAGCATGGGAGGGCTATGTGAGTTGCTGGGAGGATGGCAGTAAGGCTAGCAATTAGCTGGAGAAGATGGCAGCGAGGGTGGAGGGCTTGAACGGTGATGAGGGATGTCGTGGGCTGCCAAAAAGCTAAAAAAGGTTGTCCTGGGCTGGGCAATGAGGGAAAATGATAGAAAGAGAAGAGACTACATAAAAATGGCAAAAGGATTATTTTTTGGGTTGTCTACATGCAAACAATGAAATGGGAGAGATGCAGGGGAGTTGGGTAAGGATAAACACCACCAAGAGACCAAGTTACAGCAGAAGCACCACCTGGAAACTGAAATACAACCCTCGCAGGGAAGAAGAGATGTTGGGGGTTGTCTCGATACAAAGTATATAAAAAACTAACCCTAGACTCATATAAAAATAAATATAAAATAAGAGGATAACTACGAGCGACCCACAAGAACTGGCAGACTCCTCATAAGGGAAAGAACCTGGACCAGTTTGGCCTAGGCAAAGTATTCGGTCGCTGCTGCAAGAACTATCGAATGCGGTATACCATCCCCTTCAAGCGTGTGCACTGCGATCCCACTTCGCGACACGTCAATGCAAGCGATGCTACCAATCAAGAAGTGTCCCATGTTCGTGTCCTTGTGTACATATTTGTGCAGCATAATTGATAACTATCACCTGATAATTTTTTTTACATAAATCATCCATGTTAAGGAATAGCTCTACCATTGAAGTTTAGGCTATAATTAGGTCAAGCTCTATTTAAGCGGAAGGCCTATTCATTGTCCTACTTAATCTTGGTAACGTCTTCAAACACATAGGTTCTTCATTTTTTAGATTATTAGAGGGAGACTGAAAATTGTAGTTTCCATCCATTCTCTTGTGACAAGAGAATGATATTCTCATACGAAGGGGTTTATGCCATCCTTAATGAAACCCCTACTGTTCTACAAGTTAACGCGAACGTCATTCTATTTCTACAAATGCTGTTAGATGATATATTGGAGAAGTTCTATATAACTTCATCACAGCTGAGTTTGAACACCATCAACAGAGCCCAAAGTATAACTAAACGAGTAAAATTCACATTGATAAAGTTGTTTACTGAATCTGGAACTAAAAGAGCAAATAGCTTCTAAAAGTCAACGATCACCTGCTAATTTACACATTGTGAGGAGAAGTCCAGAAGACACTCAATAATATCTAAATTAACGCACAATAGGTCAGCTCGGATCTCAGTGATTGCAAGTAACAAATTCAACCACCTAAAATACTATCACCCACATTTTACCCGATCTACTGCCCGAGGAAACATTATAGATCAACCGTCCGAGGAAAAAAAACAAACAGAGACAAATGCTCAGTTCCAAACCTTGTAGAAAGCACCGACACCCTCTTGAGCGAGCATGTTCTTCGTAACCTGAACCGCAGATCCTTGTCCCAGCTGGATTCTAACCTGAAAAACAAAAGATAACAATTCAAAACTCGAACTACTCGCCCTCTTCAGATTTCAGATCCTTCCAAAGAGAGCCAATCCATAAACCAATTAAGAAGGCCACCAACTTAAACTTCAAGATCCAGTAGAGAACCTACCAAAATAATCAAGATCACGTCCATACCTTGATCATATCGATAGGCTGAATAACGCAGGTGGCGAGCATGCCGGAGGCTCCGCCATTGACGAAGGGCTTAATTGTACTCCAAACAACAGGCTGACTTTTCGGCTTAGCCTCACTCATTTCTTCCTCCCTCTGCTTCACGAAAGAAAGAAGTAGCGTAGCTGTGGAGAAAGTCGGAGCAGATGCCGATACCTAAGACCCCGGAATATAAATACCGGCTATAGGGAAGGAAATAGTTGGGAGCTCCAAAACAAAAAATTATTCTATCGCATTTTTATATTTTTAATTATTATTTTATTTTATAGAATTCATTATAAATGACATAACTAATGGTTGGAGCTGTCAAAAAAACTCATTGCTCACAAACAGTTCGTGTTCGGCTCGTTAGGAGTTCGTGTTCGATTTGTTCAATAAACAAGCGAGACGAACACAAACACTTTTTTCTGTTTCTTTTTTTATAAACAAACTAAACACGAACAATCATTTGTTCGATTATCTTTGAATCGTTATTGTTTGAAATATAAAATAACTTAAAATAAATATATATAAAAAATGTATCATATTATAAAAATAATCATATGCTCTAAAAAATTTATAATATTTTAAAAAATTAAATCTTTTAAATTATAATCTAAACTTCATGTTCGCCTCTTAGCTTATATTAAATCATATAATTTCATATTTATCTTTAATTTCACCTCTTAGCCTAAATTTTCTTATATTTGTTTTAAATTTATATAATTTATTTGAGTGAAACATAGTTTTTAAAGTTTTTTTGTGTGAAATCTCGTATGTGACCTTTATATCTGAGTTTTTTTTTATGGACTTCATATTTGACAAAAGTCCCTTTGGGGTGTTCGTTGCAACTTCGAAGGAATCTTATGAAGCAACTGATGATGCCACGGTGAGAGTTAGACTGATGCCTTTTTCTTGCTCTATAGATCCTGGTCTTTGGCTCAGACGACATTCGTTCAATCGGCTTTAGGTCCTTACCCAAATGATCTATATCTTTGAGCTTTCACGTGATAAGGCATTTCATCTTTCTTCTATGGGTCATCTCTGTCGATATATTCGTGTCTCTCAGCGCGTTAGATCTCATATAGATTTGTGTTAACTCATTTATGATGTACATTTTAATTAAAATTAAATTAATATATAGTTTTTATTATTATTATTTTTAAATTAAATAGTAACATATTTTTCTCAACAAATCAAGCAAATTTAATTGTAAATACACGTGCACTTATATATAATATCTTAAATAAAATAAAAATTGAAATGTTAAACTGTCAACCAATCAATTAAACCAACTTAATTGATAATATTTTTGCCGCACTAACAAAAGTTTAGTAAGATATCTAGAAGAGAAAAATATATTTAAAAAAAAAAAAAAAAAAAAAAAAAAAA